TTTTTTTTTCTTTTTGTGGGTTGGGGGGTCCGAAATCCCAGATGGGTAGGTACTTGGTAATATTCATGTCAACAAATGGCCAAATTATCTACAAAGTGGTGGTCGTTTTTTTAGTAACTTGGAAAGGAAAAGATCGGATTTAGTTACATAGTGATATTTTTTATACTTTTGGATGGTTCTGAAGTTGGGCTAAATTTCATTTCCCATATTTCTTTTCAGTTTTTAAGCTAAAAGATTTTGTTTGAGAATTGGTTTCAAGGTTCTTGAAGCTACATGGTCCTGTTATTAAATTAGTCTAGCAAAAATGAGCTTTGGGTTGCTTTATTTTGATTGAAAATATTCTTCGTTTAATAAGTAGGATGGAAGATGGCTCGAATTTGACTATGGGGAAAGATGTTGAAGGGTGTTCTGGTAACGAGAAACTTGATGATGGTAAAGAAGGTGAGCACTGGCCAGAAGCATTGGAAAGTGAAGAACTGGGACCACCAACTGTTGGGATGGTATTTACTTCCGAAGAAGATGTTCGAGATTATTACTCGAAGTATGCTCAACATAAAGGGTTTGGCATTTACAGGAGAAGCTCAAGGTGCGGAGACGACGGGAAGGTCAAATACTTTACGCTTGCTTGTGCTAATGCCGGTAAAGTACGTACAAACAATCCAAATAAGAGGTTCCCAATGAGGCAGTCATCTAAGACAAATTGCATGGCCAAGATCAATGTCGCAGTAGAATCTGATGTCCGGGTTTATGTGTGTCACGTTGTCCTTGAACATAATCATGAACTGAGTCCAGGAAAGGTGCAACAAAATATACGCAAAAAAGTTTGGAGTCCTCGAGTGCAAAGAAAACGTCGAAGGGAAGAACAGATAGGGATTGAATCATGCAATCCCTCTCATCCAAATATCGGAAAAGTTCTGGGCTATGAGAATTCAGGTTCAGGTGAGACTTGGAATTATGATTGCTTTAATTCCCTTATGATACTAGTGGCACATAATCACGACTGGTGATCTGTTAGAACTGAAATGTGGAAACTTCAGAAGCGTCTTTCTTTATTGTTTTTTCGCTATAGCTTTGTGATCATAATAGATTCCACAGTGAAAGGGGTATCTTTTTTCAACTCAATCAGCTAATGGTTACAATCATCTTCCATACCATACTACTGGCATTTCCACGGGTGAAAATGCTTTCCATCTTCTCAACAGAAGTTCAGCATCGGGAGTTTATCCAGATTGTATGTTAGAGTCCATTATTTCTGTCCTTTACTTTCCTTTTCGTTTCTAATTCATCTGTTATTTATTTTCTTTCATATTCTTTTCATCTTTTTAATTTACTTTCAATTTAGCATTTTTTCCCCCATCAAATGGTTTGAAAACCATGAGTTTTTGAATCCACATGTGCCTTTAATCATACAAGAATTGAAAGCCGCTTGAAAAATAGCAACCACAGAGGCCCTGAGGTACTGGATCTATGTTCTAAATGCTAGGAAACAACTCATGTACTTGTTTGAATAGACTAGCTAGCACTCTGCTGCTCGTAAACCATATAGGTCTAGGACCTGATAAAAGTTATTACCCACAAAGGAATGGAAGTTTTATATCCCGTCTTCAAGGAATCCTGTATGCTCATGTTCTGCATAGGCAGAATGTGTAGGTTTCCGTTTCTTTGATATGTTTCCTTTTGACATGTTTATATCGGTGGGAGCATTTATTGTTAATGTATTTAGACTAATCTGTTGAATTTTCTTGTTATTTTGAATGCTTATGTTCTCTTACAAATTAGATTAAGTGTACATTTTTGTTTGCTTCGAATTGCTCTGCCACCACTTGTTCTTTTTGCTTTCTATGTTCTTTCTCCTTCATCACCAAAGAAAATAATTGAGGCGTATTAGATGACATTAATAAAAAGCTTTATTAAATAACAAATTGCAGTCCAGGATACTTTAAGCTGTGCCCTTGCAAAGAGGGCTGTGGGACTTGTGAAATCTGGAATGGTGATCGGGCTGGGCACTGGATGCATTTTGTCTCTTTTCATTGGGGAGCTTGGGAAACTAATTAAAGAAGGAAAGGTGCGAATCCCCTATTAATTTTTAAATACCTTTTTCTTGTATTTACAGAGAACTTCTTGGAGAAGAAACTGAACCTTTTCTTGCTGCAGTAATGGCATTCACCTGCACTGACCTACATAATTGGCACTAGGGCATCTTGCAATATTTGACACGCTTTATGACGTTTGTAAAGCATACAACTACACAAGAAAAAAGAAAAACGCTAGTCAATTAACATCATGACTCCAATGCAGGGCACAATTTCTTCTTTTAGGGGACGTTTGGAAGGGGGATTCGTGCCATGATTCGAATTATGGTTTGTGGCTCGCTACAGTATTTTTTCTCACAAAAAATACACGTAAAATGAGAATGGTTTTGAATCATGGTTTTGAATCCATGAACCAACGTCCCCTTAGTCTATCAGTGTTATTCTTTTTGGGAAGAGAGGTGATGAGGGTTCATACCAATTTTTCTAAAAATAATTGTATAGAACTTTTAGGTAAATCAAACAGTACTTTTTTGAGATGCGTGGCCATAGCCCATATGCGCCTTCTGCATATGGTGTATCTGTCATCGCCAATTGCTCTCTTCTTTATTTATTTATTTATTTTTCTTCAAATAAGACGATAGTGATGCGCCTGAGTCAATAAACTTCTATAGGATATCTACTATAGGTGATTTTGTTCTGCTCTGACCCACAGGGTTAAGGGAGGTCGTATGATGACTTGAAGTTTGACATGCAAGTTGGAAGTAGTTTTCTTTCCGAACTTGATTGAGACTTCAACAATTACTCTAGTGAACGAATCAAGAAATTTCACATCAGCTTCAATTTTAATTTCAGAATTACAAGATTGAGCAAACAAGTCTTATAGATTGAAAGGCAAGAATAGGAGTTTGGTGCAGTTTCAGTTCTTCACTGAAACCTTAGATACTAGTAGTTTTGTGTTTCAGCAAATATGGCTATTTTTCAGTACTTAACAGACATTCTCCTTTATAATTGAAAAAGTTTACTATGAGAATAACAAATATGAGAATCTTAACCTTTTGTGTTTACATAATACATAAAATGTAAACCTATTTAAGAACAAAACATTGTGA